CTGGGTGTAGGAACAGCAAAAGTAAGCAAAAAAGTATACTCTGATAGAGGGCGTCAGTTCAAAGTCTGTGACTGCTTTTCATTTACATGCCTGATGTTCACAGTCACTATTGTAATAACTTCAACAAGAAGAGGGGCCAGGATTATATATAGGAACACTAAAATAACAAAATGAACAAAATAAAAACAGCAGAAGCTCAGGTTCCTATGATCATACCAGCTATCTGAGACAACAGCATGTAAGTGACTAGATACTAAACACAAACCACAGAATAAAGAGTTAGGTAAAGGCAAGCATTTCAGAATGTTATTTTTAACTAAACTAAAAGGTTAAGAAAGAAAGAAAGACTGCTGTGAGCATGACTTGGGGCCAGAATCAGTCAGAAGTGCCAAGACTGAGAAACCCTTTCCAGAACCAGTGAAGTCAAAGGGGAAGAGGAAGAAAAGGAGGTGTTGGCGGAGTGTCACAGAAGGCAAATAGCATCAAGTGGCAGCTTGGCCAGATCCAGGGGCAGTGTGGGGTGGCCAGCCTTGCCTGCAGGGAGAGGGCAAGCATGGGACTTGCCCCGAGGACCCAGCTCACGGACGCCAGGACAGATGCATAGGCCTCCTCGGGAGGGAGCGCCTGCCCACCACTGAGCCATCCTCAGCAGCGTCCGCTGCGTCTGCACTGATGACCGTCAGAGCTACAGCTCGGCGTTCCAGGACAAACCAGCCTTACTACACAGCATTACAGCAACACTTGAATTTCTAAGAATGTCAAGGTTCCCTCCTACTCTATTTTTTTAGGTTAAAGTTATGATTGAAAGTTAAAAAAAAGAAAGAAAGAAAGAAAGAGAGAGAGAGAGAGAGAGAGAGAGAGAGAGAGAGAGAGAGAGAGAGAAAGAAAGAGAGAAAGAAAGAAAGAAAATGAAACAAATGGTACCATAGTAAAGAGGAAAAACAATGGATCAGGAAGTGGAGACCTGAGTTCTACACTTTATTCTGCAATTAACTAGTTAAGAGATCTTTGGTAAATCATCTAAAAATTAAGAGACTGAACTAAATTAACTCGAAGGTTCTACAGTTATACAATTCTTTAAAAATATGTATCAAGAGATACCTGACAATAGCAAATGTGAATCAATCTGTGTATGTGATAATTATGCTGTTGGTTAGGGGACAGATCATTACAGAATGTTTTTCATCCAAGTTTCATTGTGATGTTCTAAATAATTAAGGATCTTATGAAGAAGTAAATTTAAAATGACATATTTTGAAAGTAAATTGTCAAAAAAAATCTAGGAAAGTGTAATGAAGTTGAATATTAAACTTTAGTTTAAATTTTAATTACTCTTAATTGATAAAAGCATTTGCTATAGTTTGGATGTTGGTACCCCCTTATGTTGAAATTAGATCCCCGATGGCAGAGGTGGTACATAATGGAAGTATTTGGTCATGGGGGCTCATGAATAGATTAATGCACTTGGATGGGGGCAGTGAGTTCTTGCTCTATTAGTTCCCATGAGAGCTGGTTGTTAAAGGAGTTCGACACCTCTCCCATACCTCGTGTCCTCTCTCAACATGTGACCTCTCTATGCAGGCTCCCCTTTGCCTTCTACCATGAGTGGAAGCAGCCTGAGGCTTTCACCGGGGGCTCAACCTTCCAGCCATCAGAATCGTAAGCCAAATAAACCTTTTTTCTTTATTAAATTACTTAGGCTCAGGTATTCCTTTAAAGCAACATAAATGTATTAAGACAGAATTTTTTCAATGTTTTTAAAAATACTACTAAAAAGCACTAAAATAGAGAGAAAAATCAAGTACACAGACATGAATAATTGAAAACCAGTGCTGCCATGGACAGGTATGAGGCTTATGGGTCTCATCTCTACCAGCAATAGACATTACTGGCCTCTGAATTACACTTCGAGTGAAAAACTACTCTCTATTACAAAATCCTCAAAAAAAGAAAGATTACATAGATTAAAAACAACATCCTTACAACATGGAGAAAATGAAATGCAACAGTAAGATTATTCCCCAATCAGTCAAAGTTACTGGGAATTTCCCAGTCAAAATTTCTGTAACTTGAGTTAAAAAATAAAAGTTTAGTTAATCATCTCTAAAGATACAGAGGAAAATGGCAACATTGGTTGTCCCTAGAGAGGGGAACTGGGTTAGAGTTTGGTGGACAGGAGTTGAGAGAGAGACTTTTTACTGAGTTCCTTTGCATACATTTCTACCCCTAAGAATCTAGCTAAGAAAAATAAAAACATATGTCTACACAAAGACCCATATGCAAATGTTCATAGCAGTACTGTTGATAAAAGTGAAAAGCTGATAACAATCCAAACGCTCATCAATTGGTAAATGGAAAAACAAAACGTGATATATCCACTCAATGGAACATCATTCACCAATAAAAAGGAACAAACTACTGATACTCGCTATAATATAGATGAAATTCAAAACCATCATGCAAGATGGGAGAGGGCAGGTATATACATACATAATGAGTGAGATGTGCACTATCTGGGGGATGGTTATACTGGAAACTCAGACTTGTGGGGGGAGGGGGGGAAAGGGCATTTATTGAAACCTTAAAATCTGTACCCACATAATATGCCGAAGGAAAAAAAAAAGAATTAAAAAAAAAAATCATGCTAAGTGTTGGGAACAATTTATTAGGATGAATAAAAAAAAAAAAAAAAAAAACAACCATCATGCTAAATGAAAACACCAGTTGCAAAAGACAACATATTATATGATTTCATTTATATGAAATATCCAGAAAAGAAATTGTAGACATAGAAAGCAAACCAGTGGTTGTTTATGGCTGGCAGTAGGAGCAAAAATTAACTTCAAATAAAAAGTGAACATTCTGAGGTGATGGAAATGCTCTAAAACTAGATTGTGGTATGGTTGCACAACTCTATAAATTTACTAAATATCACTAAATTGTCAAAAAATTATTTAACTGAAACTCTTTACAGAAAACTAAAATTACACAGCAGTAATGATGAATTAGGATTCTAAGACAGTATTACAACCAATTTAATATTAATCACTCCATGATTTAATGATCATAAGTAACATCTTTTAGGGTGATAATGATATAAAGAAAGAATTCAATAATTGGAATGTTTAGCAAACATTTCTCCTAACACTAGAGGTATGAGGATATCGTGTAAGACATCATCAGAAACCTTGACTATATAGTCTAGTAAAGTTCAGTGAAGATAAATGATACATTAAGACTTTATAAAAATGTATTTCCAACATCAAATAAAAAAAAATCCTGTTTGATTTTAATAATTTTGGGTAGTGATCAATAGTCTGTTCCTTCAATCCCTTCTGGTATTAGTTTTGATGGCATTTTAGATATCCCTCTTCTTCCTTCCTATTGAACCTTTGTTCATTTTAAAAGAGCTACATACACACAGGAATGCCAGTCAGCATAGGCAAGCATACTTGACTAAAGAAAATCACTATATTCAGAGACTGAATGACACATATTTTGAGCTCCATATTCTTTGTTGAGTCATTCAAGTTGGAGTATCAACATTAACCCCAAACCCACTGCTTGTAATTCTACTTTTTAGGTAAACCATTTCCTTAGACTTGACATGCTTCTTAACTGTGTGGTATAATTACAAGTCATGCAAATATCCTGTAATCCTTCACCTTAGAATATATTCATAAGAAAAACAACATTATATATTAGAATATTACCTTCATATTTATTAATGCCTTACCTATTTCCATCAAGGATGTAAAGCAAAGTTTTAAAATTTTTCTGTATTTAATAAATATAAGTCTATGCAATATACTAATGAATATAGTAAATGCTGCAGTAACATGCTAATAATCCATAATAGGGCTGGGAATCAAGTAATTCAGTAATAGGGCAAAGATTAGGTGAAAGAAGCAGCAGTACATTTTACACACACACACACACACACACACACACACACACCCACCCACCCCTTAGTATGTGTGGGAGATTGCTTCCAGAGAGAACCCTGTGGATACCAATATCTATCAATGTTCAATTTTCTAATATAAAATGGTATAGTATTTGCATATAACCTACACACATTCTCTTGTACACTTTAAATCATCTCTATATTACTTATGATATGTAATACAATGTAAATGCTATGTAAATATTTGTCATGCTGTATTGTTTAGGGAATAATGACAAGAAAAAAAAAGTCTGCATATTTTCAGTACAGATGCAACGATCCATTTTCTCCCATATTTCTGATCTGCTATTGGTTGACTCCATGTCTGGGGAACCCACGGATACAGAGAGCTGACCGTATATACACATGCATGTTTGTCAAAAGTGGTAACTGAGCTATGAGATTGTGAGCACTTTTTTCTTTCACTGTGTTCTTCACTTTCTTAGTGTTCCTAATGTTGCAATGAAGAAAAACAGAATTCAGCAATTTTTATACTTTCCCTTTGCCTACAGGAAAACAACTTTAACCTAAGTTACAAAATGAGGACCATCAAACAGGGTAAGTTCTCGAACAGACTTATACAATGTCAAAGCATAAAAGAACAATGTTGAGTAAAAAAGAACCAAACAGAAAAAAGTAGAAAGTTCACATAGAATACTTATCTATTATGCAGTGTTTTCAACTTTGAAATATCAAAGATAAGAAAATCCTTTTACCACCTCTGACTTCTTTATAATCAAGAAACAAAATGCAAGATTAAAAATAATATTTACCTGAAATGAATTTATAAATTAAAGATCCAGAGCACCAGAGATGTGGTAAGAGGGTAATTCAAAAGCCTTATTTTATTTTGCCAAAGAAAGTCAGTTCCTTATTTTGCTAAGGTCAATTGTTTATAAATATTAAGTGTTTCTGTTACAAAAGATTTTTCCCTCTAAGATAATGAAAATATCTTCCTGAAATAAACTGTGTTATTTATAAATGTTTTACTTTACCTTAACAACAAAGGGTTTAGAACAGGAAATAAAAGGTTTAATGTTGCTGGTTATATTACCTTCAGGAGCAATAGCAGAAGGACAAACTTCTTTGAGAAGATCTCCTAGTGTATGTAATTGTCCATCTGCAGCCACAGGGCGAAACAGCTTCTGAATGAAAGGTCGTTCAGTTGTTGTCTATTTGAAAAATGAAAAAATGATTCAGGCAATTAAGTCATTTTTGCTAATTACAAATTAGTAAATCATAAATTTTATGTTGGCATTAGGTGATTTCTGATATGATGTAATCAGAAGTATACAACATCATACATATACTATCACTGTGAAAAATGTTTAACATGATAAATTCAGGTAAATCTAATCTTTAGGAAACAATCAGACAAATCCAAAATGTGGGAAATTCTAAAGACAACTGGCTGGAATTCTTAAAAAAAAAAATCAAAGGCATTAAAAAAATAAACAAATAAACCCTGGCCGAATACTGAATTGGAGAAGCAAATAAATAAAAATTTAGATATAACAGTTTGAGGATAACTAGGAAATATGGAATGGACATTTGATAATATTATTGAGTTAATGTTAAATTTCTTAGGTTATGATAATTGTTAAAAGGACAATCCTTATTTTTAAGAAATTTATGCTCAAGTATTTAGAGATGAAGTGTCAATTTATATGAAATGTACCTTCAAATGGTTAAAAGTGTGTGTGTGTGTGTGTGTGTGGAGAAGGAGCAAATACAGAAAAATGTTAACTACTGGTGAATCTAGGTAGAGGGTATATGATCTTAGTAGTTTTATTATTATTATTATTTTTTTTTTTTTAAGACAGAGTCTGTCTCTGTCACCCCAGATAGAGTGCAATGGCATCATCATAGTTCACTACAACCTCCAACTCCCAGGCTCAATCTATTCTCCTGTCTCAGTCTTATTTTAACTTTTCTATAGGTTGGAAGTTTCTTTTACCTATTAATTTGGGACATTCCATATCTCTTAAGTTTGATGTGGAAATACATGAGGAACTGTGCCAAGCACAAAGTAAATAAATAAATATTAAAGTGAATAAAAGCATTTTTCCTCCTCTCTCCCTCTTAACTGTTATTTCAAGATGTTAAGTTTTAATTTTAAGCTTCCTGAAATGAAAAATCAAAAAACTTATAAGAATAATGTCTTATATTTTATAAGAAGATGATTCCAAACAAAGACAAATTTTTTGTTTTTGAGTCACAGAGGTATACTTCAACATCTTTGACATGACTGCTGTAGATCTGAAATGCTGACAAACTAAAATATAAAAAAAAATGTGTAAGTAAGCATGTGAGCTACCTCTATACTATGTATTCAGTGGAGACATAATACATTTTTTAAATGGTACTCCAATAATATACTTGAGTACTTATGGCAATTATGAAAATAAACTGTAGAAAATAACTAAAATCTTAGATAATTAATATACATTGAATATAATTCAATTCACTTTATTAATTGAACTCTTTAGGGATTTTTTAAAAAAAACATGATCAACATCCTTCAATTTAAGAACCTTACACTTTTTCACGAAAGTTGAAACCAAGAACAATATCATGTACAGTCAAGTGATTAAATATGTAAAGATATTAATAAGGGTTAGGGGAGTTCAGAGGAAGAAAGAAATGAATAGGGGACTGTAGTAATAATTTAAAATAGCCACCACCCACTTAGAGCTTTCTGTCTTCCAGGCCATGGAGAGGCTTTTAAAACTTTTTAGCAAAGGAAGTGACGTTGATGAAAGAGGCTTTTTTCTGAAGGCTAATGGAAAGCAGTGCTGTGTGTGATGATTTGGTTAAGAGGATGACTGGTGAGCAGCTGAGAGAATAAAGCAAGCCTATGTGATGACAACTGGGACTGGGACAGTAGAAAAGGAGGGGCAAGACTATATCCACAATTTAAAGAAAAAAGTCAAAAGGTACCTCCCATAGTCTGACCTGAAAATGACAAAGTCAAAGAAATTTTTTCAAGTTGGAGATCTCATTTATACCTTAATTAGCAAAGGAACTCTGAGGTGGCTTAGCAATAATTACCTGAAAATAGTATGGTAAGCAGGAAAGGCCAACTAGTCTCAGTTACATATTAAACAACAGAAATTTTCTTCTAGCCCCACTACTGGAAAAATGCCCTGTTATTTCTCTTTTTCCACTTTCTCCCAAATCTGAGCAGGTGTTATAAAGGTAGAACTTTCAACAAACTTTTATACTGTGGTATTTGCTTAGTGGGGAGACCTACCCCCAGTACTATTAACATAGAGCAACTAAATTCTATAGAATGGTAACCGAGAAAACCTTTAGCAACGTGCTGTTTCTCATATAACGAAAATCTTATTTTAAAAGACAACGACCCAAAATGCCCCAATCAAAAATCTAATGAACATTTCCTGTTTAATATTTATTATAGAGTGCCTCTAAAAACTTAACATTCTTTTCTTAGAAATTTAGTATGCTAGTAAATAGCAATTAAGTACCCGAGTGAGTCAACAAGGATAATAGAAAATACTCAATTTGGGAAGTTACTGCTAAGGTTTCAATGTTTGCATCCCTCCAAAATTCATGTTAAAATCTAATCCCCATAATGGTGTTATTAAGAGGTGGGGCAATTGACAGGTAATCAGGTCATGAGCCAGAGCCCTCATGAACGGGATTAGTGCCCTTAAAAAAGAGGCCTCAGGGAGCTTGCCAGCCCTTTTCTGCTTGAGCCATGTAAGGATGCAGCAACAGGTGCCATCTTTGAAGCGGAGAGCAGCCCTTACCAGACACCCAATCTGCTAGAGCCTTGACCTTTGACTTCCCAGCCCCCAGAACTGTGAGAAATAAATTTCTGTAGTTTATAGATTACCTAGCCTGAAGTATTTTGTTATAACAGCCCGAATGGACTAAGACAATTACCCTGAAAACAAAAGCCCTCTATAGACAGATGATGCATTCAACTATTCTCCAGAAATTCTTAAGGGTAACAGGAATAGAGGATAGATTCCTGCAAATTTTTCAACAGATTTCATTAACCCTATGTTAGAGTTCTGCAGAGAAGACTAAATTACACTAAAAAATATTTATAACCTCCAGAAATATTAATTCTGTAAACTCTGACTTAGCATACATGAAATTAGACAACATTAACAGTATCTGTGGCAATCTTAATCCATAGCAATCTAAAGCTTTACGTTGACAGACAAGAATGCCACTACAACGGGAATACAGTAAAATATCTGACCTATTTGTAAATATAGATATGTAAATATAAATATGCAAACTATTTCAGTAACTTCCAAGAAACAGCATTACTCTCTCATGAAAAATAACATGACTTGGTAAAGTCATCTTTGAAATTGTCCTCGTTACTTTTACAAGTACATAAGTTAGTCATTTCTTAAATACACCAAATGGAATGCAAAATTGATGCGCTACTGGCTGCCTGCTCCCCAGCCCTCCTCTACTCATATACCTTTACCAATACAATAGTAACTTTTTCCTATATGGAAAAGTTATGTTATTGATTTACCTTGGAGATACATTGAACAAAGGCGAAGAACCAAATCTGTAATAAATTTTAACTTAAATTTGTGAAAATTTTTTTTGTTTATTTGTTTATTGTGCAACCCAAGAGAAAAAAGCCAGGTCTTTGTAGATTTCACAGTTTGCTTTCTGAGGCAGGTATCAGTAGCTGGCTCTGGGATACAGGGTAGAAACCCTGTGTGTTAGAGTAAAAGGGTTGATGATGGAGACCAAGTAGACTGACTTTAACATTTTCCTTGTTGGAACGTGGTGTGTGAAAGTTATACATATTCTTTTTTTTTAATTTTAGCATATTACGGGGGTACAAATGTTCAGGTTATATGTGTGAAATTTTAGTTAATTTTATATATTTTCTTAAACAGTCAGTTAAAGAGTAAAACTTAAATTCTTATAAATGCTGTGTGTTATAGTATATTGTAAATTGCTGGCTAATCATATTTAAAATTTATATTCAAGACATGAAATGCAAAGAAAAAGTCTTATTTCAATTACAGCAAAATAGATTAACTAATATTAACACTAATGTTGATGAAACAAAAAGTTCTAGCTTACTATAAAAGGCAGAAAATCAGACAATATATGGATTTGAAGAGTAGCAGGCACAACCGTATCAAAACCAAAATCAGGTTTGAGTCTTAAGAGTTACATAATGTACATACTGCAACACAAAATGCAAGGCAGTTGTTAAAATAGGCTTTAAAGCCAGAAATAACTGCTCCAAGTCCTAAGTCCTGTTTTTGTCATTTAACTTCCATGAACCTCAGTTTCCTCAACTGTTAAATAGGAACAATAACATGCATATGTACACACAAATATGCATATGTATAAATAGAGATAATATCTACACTGTAGAGTTTTTGATATAATAAAATGCATAGGACAATTCTTGCACATAGTAATTTGTAACCTAAAACGCATACTACCACCAGGACCACCACAGTTTTATAACAGTCATGCACATTTTAATAAGTATTATTCAAATTTAGTATACTCAAGGCTTTATTTCCTTTTAGTTTCAATTCATTTTCTCTAAGTTCACTCATCTGTATGCTATTAATTAAAGTAATTAAAAAAGTAATTATTACTATTTTAAAATCTTATAAAAAAGAAATGTATCAGAATTAAAATCACCAAATAAATGAAGTCTAAGTAGCTACTAATAATAGGAATTACAGTGAGAAACTACTCTAGAATCTTCTAAAAAATCCAGAATCATGAAATTCAAAGGCTTATGTCTGAATGCTTATATGACAAGGGTTTGAAAAAAGGCAAAGTCACTTCAGAACTACATTCAAAACTAGTCCAGAACTTAACACCAAAAGCATGACCCATAAAAGGAAATACTGATAAATTAAACTTCATCAAAATAAAAAAACTTTTGCTTTGGAAAAGATCCTGTGGGAAAAAAAGCAAAACATGAGCCACAGACAGGGAGAAAACATTTACAAACCATGTTTTCAACAAAGGTCTTCTGTCTTTAAGAAGACCCAAACTTCAACAATAAAAAAAAAAAAAGAAAACCCAAAAAACAAAAAAAGCAAAGAATACTATTAGAAAATAGGCAAAAAACATAAACAAATATTTTATCTAAGAGGATAATACAGCTGACAAATAATTACATGAAAAGATGTTCAAT